GACAACAGTATTTGGTAATCCCGCACCTCCTCCTAACATCCATACAACGAAATTCCTCTGCATTATATACACACCACACATTGCCGCTCAGACAGACATCTCCACTGCCTCCAAGCCTCTCCTCGCTGTGCAACATTCATCAACCCATGCTTTCACCACCCATATAAGATGTTGTAAAACTATACTCCTCAACATCCCCACTTATGAGCCTCCAAGGGACAAATTTCTTTGTCTCCACAGACTCCTAAGTGCAGCACCACTTCACCTTTTCCCCCTCATCAATTCTATGATTCACCTCTATCCCTTCATAGACCCATCTGCAGACACGACCACGTCCCAATTCTGAATACATTCACCTCCTCCAAACTCCTCCCCTCCATCTGAATATCCTATCTTTTCATCACCTAATATTTTTGTTATCCTCATAACCTTATCTTTTCCTGTATTTCACTTTTAATTTTTTCTTTTAGCACACCCTACAAAATTCATTATACACCAATCTCTGTCACTTCTCTTCAGAATCTCCCAAGAGCACAGTGTCAAATCAAAGAGCAACTGTGACAACTCCCACATTATGTGTGTGATTCTTTATCCTTTAACTCCACGCATGCTTGTCAAGGACCCTCGCATTTTACTTCTCCTTACAACCCCATCTATAACTATAATAAACTAACCATGTGACATCCAACATCCTTGTCTAAGGGCCCCTACTTTTTTACTGGGAAATAATTTCCCCTTCCTATGTACACTAAACTTGAGCCTCACTATCCTCGTAAAAACACTTCATACTGCTTTCAGTAACCTACCTCCAACACCTAACCACCTGCAACATCTGTTCCACATTGCCCCCCCTTATCCAACCCTGCCATACAGCCTTTTCCAATCCTAAAATGCCACAAAGACCTCTTTAGAGCCTTAACTAAATACTGGTTCACTTAATGTTTCACACCTGAAAACACCTGTGTCCACATACCCCCTTCCTTTCCTAAAGCCTCCTGTTCATCTGCTATCCCATTCTCAGTCTTAACTTTTAATTTTTTCAATAAAAACTAACCATACACATTACCAGGTAAACTCAACAGACATAACCCGCTATAATTTTTGCACTCTTTTAGTCCCCTTTGCCTTTATACAAAGGAACTATGCATGCTCTCTTGCCAATCCCAGGTACCTTACCCCTCTTCCAAAACATTTATTAAATAATTTGCACCAACCACTCCAAAACTATATCCCCACCTGCTTTAAACATTCTATCTTATCCCATCAATCCCAGCTGCCTTACCCCCTTTCATTTTACCTACTGCCTCACGAACTTCCCCCACACTCACAACTGGCTCTTCCTCACTCCTACAAGATGTTATTCCTCCTTGCCCTATACACGAAATAAACAGCTTCCCTATCTTCATCAACTTTTAACAATTCCTCAAAATATTCCCTCCATCTTCCCAATACCTCTAACTCTCCATTTAATAACTCTCCTATCCAATTGTTAACTGACAAATCCATTTATTCTCTAGGCTTCCTTAACTTTTAATCTCACTCCCCAAAACTTTTTCTTTTTTTTAAACAAAATTTTTGGGATAACATCTCACCCACTCCCCATTTGCTTCTTTTTACATTGCTTAAACCACTCTCTTTTTCCTCCATATACTCTTCCCCCTTGCATCACTTCTACTTGTAAAAACTTCTATGCTAACTTTTTCCCCCCTTACTACTCTCTTTACATCATCATTCCCCCAATCGCTACTCTTCCCTCCCGCACCCACTTTCCTGTAACCACAAACTTCTGCTGAACACTAACTACATTTTTAAACCTACCCCATACCTCTTCGACCCCATTGCCTATGCTCTCATTAGCCCATCTATCCTCCAATAGCTGTTTATATCTTTCCCTAACTGCCTCCTCTTTTAGTTTATAAACCTTCACCTCTCTCTTCCCTGATGCTTCTGTTCTCCTTGTATCCCATCTACCTTTTACTCTCAGTGTAGCTACAACTAGAAAGTGATCCGATATATCTGTGGCCCCTCTATAAACATGTACCTCCTGAAGTCTACTCAACAGTCTTTTATCTACCAATACATAATCCAACAAACTACTGTCATTTCGCCCTACTCAGTTTTCGTACTTTTTTCCAGACTGCACTCAGAGGAAGCAGAGGTGATGGTGGAGACAATCTCGCAAGCAAGTGCGTTTAGCATCACGGATGACACGGCGAGCGATTAGAAAAGTCCACATGCGGTGGCAAAGAAAAACGTTCAAGTAGCGAAGGAACGGTGCGTTGTGAAGAAAGGAGTTGCACAGATGGAGAAGAGGAAAGAGAAGGAACAGAGGGTGGATCAGTGTCCATTGATGGTTTGGTCTCTGCAATATATTCAGAGATTGCTTCAAGTGTTTCGGAGTTCAGAGACGTAGTATGAGAGACAATATTGGAGATGGAAGGAGGAGGAGTTTGAGTAAAGATCGGAGCTGTAAGGACTGTACCAAGGTAGGGGGGGGGATGAAAGGGTGGAGGGAACTGGAGAAGTGTGGGAGGGGACAGAAGAGGCAGAAACCCAGGAGGTGGCAGAAGAGGAAGAAACTTGGGAGGGGACAGGGGAAAGGAAGCACGGTAAGAGAGGATGAACCTCCACACTTGTAACGGAGCCAGTGAAAGGGAGACCTAGGTACAGAGACCGGGAAGTAAAAGGGGGAGGTGGATAAAGGGGAAGGAGGGGTTAAAGGAGATTTTTTGGGACCTCGGAGAAGTAGAGGACGATTGGGAGGTGTGTCGTACGAGGTCTTGTCGATACCAGGGTTTGTGAGGGAGAACACGAAAAGGAGGACAGCCTGAGGTGTTGAAAGTAGGGATGTCTGAGCCCAGGACAGCAAAAGAATTAAAATACAGGAGTGACTATGGGACTGCAACGCAGAGGAGGGCTGCAGAAGATGGGACCCCAGAAGTGGGGGAGGTTTTGAAACACGAGAATAAGAAACACGGGGTAGTCTCCCTTGGAGGCGGAGTTGAGAAACTGCCATAGCATAAGAGAGACCTTCTGCCTCTTTGAGGCAACGAATTTCCCGCTCATTTAAGTAGACCTGGCAACGGCGAGAGTACGAAGGGCGAGCCTCATGACAATTAAGGCAAGAGGGAGGTAGACTTCAAGATGTATTAGAATGGTCATTGGCACCACAGACTGGGCATTTGGCTATAGATCTGCAATATTTGGCTGGGTGGCCAAATCGCCAGCAATTCCTACACTGTTGCGGTGTAGGGATCACCTTCCGAACTTGTAAACCAATGTTTCCCGCACATAAACAGAGGAGGGGGTTTCACGCTGTCAATTAAAAACGGGGCCACATTTCAAGAGTATCGTCTTCGCCCGCGGGCAGAAGAACATAAGTGTCTAACCTCGAGAATTGGAATCTTGGAGTTCCAGCTGTTCGAGAATGCCCTTGCCACATGTCTGGAAATTCTGTTGGACTAGGGATGGGGCAGAATAACAGTACCACTACAAGAATTGAGGGAATGATGTTTTTCGATAGTTTATAAGAATATATCAAATGTGAAAGAATAGAAAGATCATGACTTGGGTAGAATTCTGGACTGTGATGATGGGCGTACCACTCTTAAGAGTATGAAAGGAAATATCTCTACCAACGTGGCATAGGAGCGCTTTGCCAATACTATGGTCAGAAAGAAAAGGCAGTAAAAATCCGGTCGAAAGTAAAGAATTTAGTCCATTGTGTGGTCCGAAACCAAGTGTGGAGAGAGAGTGCATGACGTGTCTGTCTTTTCCGAGTAGAATGGGAAGGTAATGAAGTAACATCGTCAGGAGATTGTCGCTGGCGTTTAAAAGTGAGACCAGAGTCGGTCCGACGTGAGACGGGCTGGCGATTCAAAAATCGTCGCACCATAGAGGGAGAGGCCGGAAGCATAGTCAAAGGAGAGCAGAGGTCAGACAAATCGAAGGAGTCAGTGGAAGCCCCGGTACCTGAAGTGAGTGAGGAAACAGCACCAGCAAGAGGTACAGGGGGCTTAGGAGTGTCCAAAAGGTGGCCAAAAGACGAGGCGAGGTCAGAACAGGGTGCAGTAACAATAAGGGGCCCGGGGTTAGGGGGGGGGTCATGGATTTGGGATTCCATGGTTAGATTACTTTTTTTTTTTCTTAAAAACAAAAACAAAGAAAATAAAAATATAAAAAAAAGGGGGGACCGGGGAGGGATAGTTCCTAGGAGGAATGAAAGGGCCAGAAATCTCCCTCCGTGCCCAAGAGGACCTCGGCACCGCAAGTAGCGCAGATGCAGCATGGAACCAGTGCCATACTCTACCCTTCATGCCAGTAAACCAGCATTCCGGGATAGCAACCTCACATCTGCCGAGCTACCTCGGTGGACAAAAGAGAGGGCGGCCGGATATCCGCCACAAAGCATACCTCCTTGGCCACCACCCCCAGAATCCGAAAGGTGGCTTCCAGAGATACACCCGTCGCCCGAAAGACACCCAAAGCCACCCTCCGGGATACCGGAGAGGGATCGGGACATCCCCAGGTGATCCAGATCCCACGGCAAACTACGCCACCGCCAAGAACCTCAATGGAATGGGATGGACCCTGGTACCCTTCCCCCTACCTATGAACTAGTGTGCCCGTGGGAAAAATCCCAAAGGCCAAAAAGAGGAAGGGCAAAAGGGAGGGGTGGGGAGGAGGAGGAAAGGAAAAGGGGAGGATGGGATAGGGAAGGGGGGATTGGGGGGTAATTAGATTCGGTCTGAGGAAGAAGACCAACAGGTCTAATTCCTCAGACCAAGAGCCTCTTCACCACGCCAAGGAGCCCCCCTTGAAGAGGTCTAAGCCATGAGCTCAGCTCACTCATAAGCTCTGAGCAGTAAATCTGGGCCTAGATATGAGAAAATGGGTCTATGCGATAAGTGTGCACCATATAAAAAAATTCCTGCAACAAGCAGTGAATAATGGGGAAAAAAACAGCAACTTTTTGGTTTAAAACAGCAACTTTGCAGTTTATTTTTGTATGGTTTTTATTTTATTCTTGATTTCATGATAGAATGGAAGATATATTACAGAAATAGAGATGACTGATTCGTTTCAGGACAAAGTAGCTTCAAATTGAGCTCAGTGGTGGAAATGTTCAATTTTTGCTGATATTCCAGTGTGCACAAATCGTGTCACTCATCCGATACACGTCCAACTGGTCCGTCTAATGTGTCCACAAATGCACAGGCATTTATACAATTTTTACAATAATGCAGTACTCTGCACAACAGTAAATCTTTTATTTTTTTATGTGAATAAAAATTTGAAATGGAAAGCAAATGTAATATAGGAGAAGCCTGAGAATGTGACTAATGAACAGAGGAAATGTTTTAGTGCCAGGAATGTCTACAATCTTTATTCTGGACCCTATTTTAAAACTGGCAATTTCTGATTTGTGAAACTGGCCAAATTACCAATTTCTGATCAATATGAGTAGCTAAATTAGGCAAATGGGTGGTTTTCTCGTACTCAATTGATAGAATAGAAGGAATACTAGCAAAACAGCTATGAGTTTGGTTGATGAACAATGGAACTGGCTTAAAATAAGGCTCAAGGTGGGTGAAATTGCTGATGCATAAATATCACCGAGACTGCTAACTTTGCGAGTGTGCAATTCTGCACGTTTTCCATCAAATTCTGTACTTTTTTCATTACCCTCAGAAAAAGATTATCATTTCATTTTTTTTTTTTAAATTTTTCGACCCCGAGAGCAAGTTTCAGATCGGGGGTTTCGACCCTTGAAGAGTTAATTATCTTGATTAACTACTGTTAATTTAAGGCTCGTATAATCTTAAGCCTGCACAATATGTTCTCCTTAATTATGGGCTTTTCATAAATGACAACACTGATGCTGGTCAACTATGTTGAACATGTGTATTCTTTAACCCTTTCAGGGTTGGTGCCATACTAATACGGCTTGCACGCCAGGGTTGGTGCCGTACTAGTACGCATAAATTCTAGCGCGTTCAAATCTAGTGAGAGAAAGCTGGTAGGCCTACATATGAAAGAATGGGTCTATGTGGTCAGTGTGCAAAATATAAAAGAAATCCTGCAGCAGCACAGTGCATAATGAGAAAAAAAAAAAAACTGACTGTTTTTGATTTAAAACAGCGACTTTGCAGTGTATTTTCGTATGCTATTTATGGTTATTCTAGTTTTCCTGGTCTCATTTTATAGAATGGAAGACATATTATGGAAATTGTGAAACCAATCAAAATCATCTCAATGAAAAGTACTTTGAAATTGAGCTCAAAGTAGCAGAAATGTTCAATTTTTGCCAAAGTTCAAAGGTAAACAAATCATGCCACGCGTCCAATACACGACAACTGGTGAGTAATATTCTTTCACAAGTGCGCTGATATTATTTATACCATTTCTACACCATTTCTACACGAATGCAGTAGTCTGCATAACAAATCTTCTATTCTTTGTGAGAATAAAAATTCAAAGTGGAAAGCAAAAGAAATGTAGCAGAGGCCTGGGGACACGAGTAATCAACAGAGGATATGTTATTTTAGTGCCAGGAATGTCTGTCTTGTTTATTCTGGACCCTATTTGGAAACTGGCATCTTTTGAGATTTGTGTGAAAATGGCAAAATTGCCAATTTCTGACCACGTTATTTGTTAGTTGAAATCGGTAAATGGGTGGTTTCTTGTCCTCATTCGATAAACAAAATGGAGTTCTAGCGAAATAGGTATGATTTTTGTCGACTGGTATATTGAAATTGACCGATAATGGGGCGCAAAGTGGGCGAAATCTCCGAAAAATTTCCGACCCTGAGAACAAGTTTAGGAGAGGGCCTGCCGACCCTGAAAGGGTTAAAAATTAAATTTTTTTTTAGCTCTTCCCATTAATGTAATGAAACAAATTTGGTGAAGATTGGATCATGAGAAATCTAAATCTATATTCCTACACATGATCACCTTTGTCTTATCCACTACAGTGGATTATTACAGTACCTGTGGGATATCACATACAGGAATAGTAGCAGGTGTAGGCTCTGAAGGGGGTATTTGTGTAAAAAGTTCTGGAGATGGCAATTCACAAGCTTTTGGAGGTGTACTGTAGTCTCCATTTCCTTTACCCTCCTAGAAGAGAAGTACATTTCTTAGATAAATTAGGAAAAAATACTTAATGGTTTTGCTTGCATGGCACTTGGTAATACTGAATATAGTACAGTGGACCCCCGCATAACTATCACCTCCGAATGCGACCAATTATGTAAGTGTATTTATGTAAGTGCGTTTGTACGTGTATGTTTGGGGGTCTGAAATGGACTAATCTACTTCACAATATTCCTTATGGGAACAAATTCGGTCAGTACTGGCACCTGAACATACTTCTGGATTGAAAAAATATCGTTAACCGGGGGTCCACTGTATATGTAAAATAAACAATATTATACTTAATGATTTCTATCAAAACTTGTACAGTATTTATTTTATTTTCATAGGGTTTTGAAGATCAATGCTCCCTCCAACCAGTCTCAAACCAGATCTCCTAAATGACTATTACAATATAAATAAACAAGAAAATAAAGGCAAGTGCATAGTAAATTTAAGAAATTAAGATTTACTTTCCATTTTACATTTCTGTGAAACAAAGTTTAGAAATCCTGAAAAAACTAACTGGCTCACAAGCATCCAGCCAAATGAGATGCATTCCTATTTCACTAGGTCTATAATGCAGTTTTCAAATCCAAGAACAGGTTGACTCCAATACAATACTTAAGGTTCTTGCAGTGAGTGGGCACGTTGCCCCCTTGCTGCAAACCTGGACCATAAAGCAGACGCTTTGATTCCTTAAAGCAAGGGGTATAATTATAAAAACATTCCATGTAACCCTATCCAAACAGTCTACATAAGTAGTTTTGCACCCCCTTTACATCATTATATCCCTTAATTAATCCTCTAATTTTCCCTTAAATCAGGTTGTCTACTTTATACAGGCAGGCACTGCTTTACAGTGCTTACTTTATATTTCACTAATGCAGCAGTTCTCAATTATACCCATTCTTCATTTATTCAGACTTCCTGCAACAAATATATTCACCACTCACTATAAGCCAAGAATGGAAATGTTTTTAAGGTAAGTAATGTGTGTACTGAAAATTCATTTTTTAGATCTAGCTCTATTGCTTACTTAATATATAACAGTGTAAACATGTTATCAGCCTTTTACATGCATTTGTAAGTCTAAAGGCTGTTTCGCTTTACAGCAGCAGCCCAGAACCTAACCTGCTGTATAAGTGGGGCCCGCCTATACTTACCCTATGTATTTTGCTTTCATACAACTTCCTTACAAACCTTCCTCAAATCGTACTCTCAAGTGGTTTTTAACTATTAAAAATATTTCTCAATACAGTGGTACAGTAGCAAGCCAGCACACACAGCTCAAACACACTGAGGTCTGTGGTTTGTTCCCCAGTATGAGTAGAAACATCAGGACGAATTTCCTTAAGAGACCTTCTGTCCCTGCTCACCTATCGGTAAAATGGGTACCTAGGTGTTAGTCGACTGGTGTGGGTCTCATTCTGGCGACAAAGCTGGCCCAATTTTCCCAAAATGCTCTGCAGAGAAGGGGGCTTTCTATATAGTAGTATGTCATTGATATCAGCTAGGTCTGTATACATTGTACATGTACTTTTAGAAATAAAGATCATCATTATTATCATCATAACTGAAGGACCTAAATTCAGTCCTGGGATAGTCAAGATACATGGATGACTCACAAAATCGTAATGACACGATTGCAAACAAACCATACCACGGGCGGGGATAGAACCCGCGATCAGAGAGTCTCAAAACTCCAGACCGTTGCGTTAGCCACTGGGCCAGCTAGCCACAATAATATACATCCAACAGCTTTGAGGGAACTTGAGCTAGAGTTTGTCACGGCCACGCTAGCTGGAGATTCATTTGTAAAAACTTACATTTGTGGTCACAGTGGTGCCTATGCTAACCTTCCTATGGTGTAGAAATATACCTAGTTGGATGAATCTTATTGTGGCTAGTTGGCCCAGTGGCTAACGCGATGGTCTGGAGTTTTGAGACTCTCTGATCGCGGGTTCTATCCCCGCCCGTGGTATGGTTTGTTTTGAGATACACGAGTGTATCTTAACACCTGATGCACTTGGAACATGGTCTTGCCCTCAAGTATCTTGTCCAGCACAAGATTAACAGACAGGTTGTTTTAAATGAGTGACCAAGAGGAGACATACTTTTACTAAATGCTGTGTGCATCCAAATTATGTCAGTACAGTATTATATGTAACCTTGGTTAAGAATGCCAGATGTGTGACTGATACTTGAATGAACACATGATTATTTGAATATTTTGGTGTATGCTCGAAGTTTCTTCATTTTCTGTTTGTCTATCATAAGTTTCTATTGTGTATGTGTATCATGAAATTTATTGGCATTATGGTACTGGGTATCTACAAATTTACTCTAAACAGTATTAGGAAAGATACATTTGCCCTTGGAAAGTGTTTAAATGCTGTACATTAATGAAACTGATAAAAATAAATCTATATAATGTGAGAGAAAATAATAAGAGGCAAATGACAGTACTGTACTACAAGCATTAGGAAGGTACACACACCAAGAGCCAAAACTGTCTGAAAACGAGTGTGGAAAACAAGTACACAAACTAAAAAATACACCCTACACAAAATTCCCACTGTACACAGGAGAAAAAAAAAAAAAACACTCTAGGGGCACTAGCATTTATGGATTTATGACAACTCTACCTGCTTGGAGAGTTCATCAAGTGTGTGTATGGAGATTGGGGGCACCATGGAGTTTAGCAGTGGGGCAGGAGGGCTAGTAGAGCTTACAGCACCAATTGGAGATGCTGCTACATTTCCCCAACTCATTGGGATTGTTGGTACCTAGATTACAAAAATTCATTCATTCCTTAGTTTCCAGTACCTCATGCCCTCAACTTCAGTAATTTACAAAATAAGATAAACTTTTTTTTTTACAAATAAATCTTTGATGAATTATAGAAAGGTGCACAAACACAAAACTTATTTTCTTGAATATATCTAACAATTTCAAGCAAGACAGTGCAAATTTATAAATACAGTGGAACCTCAAATATCGAACTTTCTTCGGTCCAGAAGGCCGTTTGAGTGCCTTTACCGAATGAATTTATTCCCATCAGGAATAATGTAAATTCGATTAGTCCATTTCAGACCCTCAAAAATACACTTATAAAAGCACTTACAAAAATACATTTACATAATTGGTCTTGTTGGGAGCAGTTCGATTTTTGAGGTTCCACTGTATGCCTAACCCTGATAGTAAACTGCAGAGAGGAGTATCTTGAGATCAGAAAGTAAATACTGGTGCATTATTTGTATATGATATAGAAGGACAATTATTCAGGTTATCTTCAGACAATATAAACAGTATAAAAGAATGCAGTGGTCCAACAAAAGTACCTAACTAAGCCTAAATTTTAAGTTGAAATCAGGTTTCTTACAAGTGGTTTCAAGAAAACTTGTATGCATGTTTAACCCTATTGCAGCATCTTGTGGTCAAGCAGCTGGTTCTCAGCAACTGTCATTTCACCATGGAAAAATGCTCACATGAGCTTTTACATTACATATTTCTTGAATGAAGACAAATTTCCACATCTGATAAATCTTCCAAATGCACTGAATTCTGTTACGCAGCTTGGTCTAATTGGTATAATTTTTTGTTTTTAAATTAGGACAGATGTGCTCTCCACAAGATGCCAGGATTACCACACAGAAAATACAAAAGTAAGCCTTAGATACCAGCAACCATACTGGTTCAGATAAAGCCTGACTTCCAGGAATACATAAATCATAAGAATACTTAAAAAAAATAAAATAAAATAAAATAGAAATACATACAAGAAATATGTCTAAAACAATAGACATAAAAATGTGGTAGATTTTTTTTTTTTTTTAAGAACCCAGTCATACTTTGTAAAATATGAAGAGGATTTTCACAATATCTGTTGAAAAAAAATAGGAACAATGCTGTAATAAATGAAGCCTATAAAAGATATGGGAAAATTAATTAAATGTACAGGTAAGCATTCTGCAAGAATACGATGCACCTTCGAAAACTTACCAGTAATATATACTCGGAGAACCTGCTGTACATAGGTAAATGAAGAGCTAATGTTACTAAATGATGAGACAAAACAGACAAATCAGTGAAAAATAGCAAAATGCACAAGAAAATAATACAGTGCTCGTCATGGCATTATGCCGGGAGAATGCCCCGGCATAATGCTGTGACGAAAATCAAAGGCCTACCATACAGGAAGGAGTGGTCTTTTTATTTCTGTTAAGTGCATTATGGCAGGTAGCAGCTGTTAGCATGATGTGTCTGCCTACTGCCACATTGCAAAGTAACTCATCAGTGCTTATGTGGCTGCCGTGGTGACGGGAAGTGTTGTATGTGTCTCGCATCCACCCCATCTTTTGTCTGGTGTTTTGGTTTTGGGGCTATACATGTTTGATTATGGGCAAAAGGAAGTCTAACACCTGAAACTATAGCTGAAATCATAGGGCTTCACAAAGCTGGGCACCAGACGAAAGAAATAGTGGAGAATGTTAGTGTGAGAGCGTTCAGTGAAGGACTGGGTGCAGCGTTTCAAGGCTGGTGGCAGTGTCGAGTTACTCTGCCAAACCTCGGCCTGGTCCCTCGAAGACATCTGTTGGTACCTTAACTGTTAAAGAAGCAGTTAGAGAGTAACTGCTTCTTTAACACAGTTAAGGTACCAACAGATGTTTTCTTCGAGGGGCCAGGCCGAGGTTTGGCAGACTAACTCGACAACCACCAGCCTTGAAATGCTGCACCCAATTCCTCACTGAATGCTCTCACACCAACATTCTCCACTATTTCTTTCGTCTGGTGCCCAGCTTTGTGAAGCCCTATGATTTGAGCCATAGTTTCAGGTGTTAGACTTCCTTTTACCCATAATCAAACATGTATAGCCCCAAAACCAAAGAACACCAGACAAAAGATAGGGTGGATGCGAGACAAACATACAACACTTCCCCTCACCACAGCAGCCACATGAGCACTGATGAGTTACTTTGTAGCATGGCAGCAGGCCAAGACATCATGCTAATGGCTGCTACCCACTGTATGCCAGATCCTAATGGCAAACATTCAAGAGAAAGACACCAGTCAAAAATCACTGAAAACGAGCTAAAACAGAAAAGAAAAACTACATACCATATAATGACCTGGTGACAGTGGTGGCATAACTGGGTACTGAGGTGACCACATCTGACCCCACATTAACGACCCTCCAGTAGGTGCAGGCGAGCCAGGGTATACCTTCCCCAAGCATAAATGAAGTAACTGAATATCAAGCTTACACAAATTTTAACAATGCCTTGTCGTCAAATTCATAGCCCACTGGTTAATTCTATACAGAGGAATCATCCTACCCACTTCCCAAACAAATGCCAATCATTCTGACAAACTCAGCATTATCATCAAATGTGCATTCTTTTATTTCATTAATTTACTTAGTCACTGTGCATATTACATACAGAGCTTAAAACTGTGGACAGCATCAGACTATAGAGGAAAAAAAAAAACACCTACACAGAGAATTTGACAGTACTGTACATTTTTAAAATTTTGCCTCAGTAGCTCTCTCACCAAGGTAGGGTGACTTATTTTAATACCTTCCCCACTGCTCATTTAATAGCCATCTTAACAGAAGTAAACAGATATCACAGATCCAATGACCATCCAAACTAACATCCCCACCCACCCTACTGTTTATCTGTAGCTGCCAAATTTGTGGAAGATTTCTAGGAACATGAATATTGGGGAGAACGGTGAACAGCAAAGTTCTGCTTATCTGGAAAATGGTTATCAAGATAATTTACCTCATTTATGGATTTAGAAAAGGCATATGATAGAGTGGATAAGGGAGCAATGTGGCAGATTTTGCAAGTACAGTGGACCCCCGCATACCGCACGCATCGCATACCGTACAATCCGCATACCGCTCGCTTTTTTCGCAAAAATTTTGCCTCGCATACCGCCCAAAAACCCGCTCACTGCCCTTCGTCCGAGACGCGTCCAATGTGCGGCCTGAGCCACGCTCACATGTTCCGCCGGTGGCATTGTTTACCAGCCAGCCTCCGCGGTAACATCCAAGCATACAATCGGAACATTTCGTATTATTACAGTGTTTTTGGTGATTTTTTCTGGAAAATAAGTGACCATGGGCCCCAAGAAAGCTTCTAGTGCCAACCCTACAGCAATAAGGGTGAGAATTACTATAGAGATGAAGAAAAAGATCATTGATAAGTATGAAAGTGGAGTGCATATCTCCGAGCTGGCCAGGTTGTATAATAAACCCCAATCAACCATCGCTACTATTGGTGGTACAGCTGCTGCTGCACTGTCAGCTGCTGCTGCTGCTGCTGTAGCATCGTCTGCTGCTGCTGTAGCATCGTCTGCTGCTGCTGTAGCATCGTCTGCTGCTGCTGTAGCATCGTCTGCTGCTGCTGTAGCATCGTCTGCTGCTGCTGTAGCATCGTCTGCTGCTGCTGTAGCATCGTCTGCTGCTGCTGTAGCGTCGTCTGCTGCTGCTGTAGCGTCGTCTGCTGCTGCTGTAGTGTCGTCTGCTGCTGCTGTAGCGTCGTCTGCTGCTGCTGTAGCGTCGTCTGCTGCTGCTGTAGCGTCGTCTGCTGCTGCTGTAGCATCGTCTGTTGCTGCTGACCACCGTCACTGCTGCGCTGCTGCTGCTGTAGCACCATTGTTGGTGTGGCTTATTGAGAATACCAAGAACAATTAACCCCCAGAGGATTTGCCACCCAGGATAACCCAAAAAAGTCAGTGTCATCGAAGACTGTCTAACTTATTTCCATTGGGGTCCTTAATCTTGTCTCCCAGGATGCAACCCACACCAGTCGACTAACACCCAGGTGAACAGGAAAAATGCCTGGAACTAGTGCTCATATTGGTGAATTTAAAGCCAGCAAAGGTTGGTTTGAGAGATTTAAGAATCGAGTGGCATACACAGTGTGATAAGGCCTGTTCTGGAAGAAAATGCCAAACAGGACCTACAGTACTCAGGAGGAAAAGGCACTCCCAGGACACAGTCTCTCATCAGTCATTGCTGCATCTTCAATAAAGGTAAGTGTCATTTATTCTTCATTTAGTAGAGTAGTACATGCACAATATATATTGTGCATGTACTACTCTACTATTGTGCATGTATCCTTCTCTGTGTGTAGGAAAATGTATATTTCATGTGGTAAATTTTTTTTTTTCATACTTTTGGGTGTCTTGCACGGATTAATTTGATTTCCATTATTTCTTATGGGGAAAATTCATTCGCATACCGAACATTTCGCATAACAACCAGCCCTCTTGCACGGACTAAGGTCGCTATGCGGGGGTCCACTGTATATGGAATAGGTCGTAAGTTATTAATGCTGTAAAGAGTTTTTATGAGGATAGCGAGGCTCAAGTTAGGGTGTGTACAAGAGAGGGAGACTACTACCCGGTAAAAGTAGGTCATAGACAGGGATTTGTAATGTCACCATGGTTGTTTAATATATAGATGGGGTTGTAAAAAGTAAATGCTAGGGTGTTCGGGAGAGGGCTGGGATTAAATTATGGGGAATCAAATACAAAATGGGAATTGACACAGTTGCTTTTTGCTGATGATACTGTGCTTATGGGAGATTCTAAAGAAAAACCGCAAAGGCTTGTGGACGAGTTTGGGAGTGTGTATAAAGTGGTACATTGAGGTATATGTAAAGACAAAAAACATTATCTATGGAGGCAAAGAAGCAAATGTATGAAAGTATAGTAGTACCAACACTCTTATATGGGTGTGAAGCTTGGGTTGTGAATGCAGCAGCGAGGAGGCGGTTGGAGGCAGTGGAGATGTCCTGTCTAAAAGCAATGTGAGGTGTAAATATTATGCAGAAAATTCAGAGTGTGGAAATTAGGAGAAGGTGTGGAGTTAATAAAAGTATTAGACAGCTAAAGAGGGGTTGTTGAGGTGGTTTGGTCATTTAGAGAGAATGGATCAAAGTAGAATGACATGGAGAGCATTTAAATCTGTAGGGGAAGGAAGGCGGGGTAGGGGTCGTCCTCGAAAAGGTTAGAAGGAAGGGGTAAGGGAGGTTTTGTGGGCGAGGGGCTTGGACTTCCAGCAGGCGTGCGTGAGCGTGTTCGATAGGAGTGAATGGAGACGAATGGTATTTGGGGCCTGACGATCTATTGGAGTGTGAGCAGGGTAATATTTAGTGAAGGGATTCAGGGAAACCGGTTATTTTTATATAGCCGGACTTGAGTCCTGGAAATGGGAAGTACAATGCCTGCAATCAAAGGAGGGGTTCGGGATATTGGTAGTTTAGAGGGATATGTTGTGTATCTTTATACGTATATGCTTCTAAGCTGTTGTGTTCTGAGCACCTCCGCAAAAACAAGCGATTATGTGTGAGTGAGGTGAAAGAGTTGAATGATGATGAAAGTATTTTCTTTTTGGGGATTTTCTTTCTTTTTGGGTCACTGCCTCGGTGGGAGACGGCCGACTTGTTAAAAAAAAATTCCTCAAAAAATCTTATACTGTTAAAATGAAAGTTAAAAAGCCTATCCAGCATCTAATTTTTTTTTTTAACACGTCGGCCGTTTCCCACCGAGGCAGGATGACCCAAAAAGAAAAACCCCAAAAGAAAAAACCTTCATCATTCAACACTTTTACAATGACTCGTACATAATCACTGTCTTTGTAGAAGTGCCTAGATACAACAGTTTAGATGTCCCTCCAAACTGCCAATAACCCAAACTCTCCTTTAAAATGCAGGCATTGTACTTCCCATTTCTAGGATTCAAATCCAGCTAACCTGTTTCACAGAATCCCTTCACAAGACATTACCCTGCTCTCACTCCAACAGCTCATCAGGTCCTAAAAACCATTCGTCTCCATTCACTAACATGCTTACGCATGCTTGCTGCAAGTCCAAGCCCCTCGCCCACAAAACCTCCTTTAACCCCTCCCTCCAACCTTTTTAGGGACAACTCCTATCCTGCCTTCCTCAACAGATTTATATGCTCCCCAAGTCATTCTATCTTAATATGTATAATAAAAACCTGGCACAATGATTTAATTTTAACTTTGAAACCATTTCTAAGAAGGGCAAGTCAACCCACTTAATGTAGGGACTGAAGATGCCAACCTATTCATAGGTCTGTTGCCACTACTACAGACTGAAGGAGTATGATTGTTCATAACGGGTCTGCACGTAATATAACACATGAAAAGGGGGGAACCAAGGCTTTATCACAATACTGTATGCCAGAAAATATTTTGTAAATTAGTCTACAAGCAGAAAAATTGCATTTTAATGTAGTTGACAGTCAATAAGAAAATTCATGGCACTTCTTGTGTCTAGGACCATGAGTTAGGTTGCATATCTACTGTATTGTTGACAAGTAACAAACGTCATCCAAAACTGAATCCTGTAACACCTCAATGGGTAGCTTTACTCATCCTTTTATCCCCTATCCTACCTCCCACTCCCTCAACTTTAATATACAGGCAGTCAAGTCACAGCAAGAGAAGTAATACTTACCACAGGTGGTGATGACTGGTATGGCTGCTGAGGTATTTGAGGATTCATACTCATCACTAAGTGCCCATTGGAATTTGCTTCTATAAAATAAATTTTATTATATTCATGAAAAAGCACTAAACCCACAGGGATCATATAGTACCTAGAAAATGTAAGGTAAGCACATTTGACCCAAAGGAGGAGGTAGCTCTAATTTCATGAATCAAAAGCTATTCCCCAACATTAAGGTGTCCTCATTAAAGATGAAAACAGAATGAAGCAACATTCATTATATACCGATACACTACAATTTAAGATCTAGAGCACCAAGAGCTTAACAGGCCATACTTTATCAGATCATAGATTTAAGAGTATATATATATAGGTGCTCCTCTACTGACGATGGGGTTACGTTCCAACGAACTCATCACTAGTCAAAAATACTGCAAGTCGGATGTGAATGTATGTTATGCTAAATAAGTAAATAACTAACTACTGCCACTGAATAAGTAAATAAACAATAATTTCTGAAACTAAATACTGGTATTGGGAAGTAAATAAGTGAATTTAAGTTACAGACTTGCCACCTACAAGCTGGGTAATTTTCTTAAGTTCCAGGCTACTGCTGGAAAGCAGACATCGCCAGAAAGCAGAACACCATTTTTTTCCACTTATAAATATATACAAGTGCCAGATAAGTTTACACAAACATAAATTAAGTTAGCAATAGAACTAGGCATTAAAAACAATGAAAAGTAAAATACACACACAGTACACTCATCATTTACCTCAAAATATTCATAGTCTTAATGTAGGGCAAAAGGTTAGTATTTACTGCAAGAAGTTAGGTGTGGTAGCTCTCCTGGCCACCCCCACACATAATATACTGCAACGATGCTTAACCCTTAAATGGTCCAAACCTATATATATGTTCACTCGTGCAGCGCCCCGAATATTTTGGAAAAAAAAAAAAAAAGTGATAATGTGCGAGTGTGGTGAAAGTGTTGAATGATGATGAAAGTATTTTCTTTTTGGGGATTTTCTTTCTTTTTTGGGTCACCCTGCCTCGGTGGGAGACGGCCGACTTGTTGAGGGAAAAAAAAAAAAAAAAAAAAATTATGAGAGAGAGAGACAGAGAGAGAGAGAGACACAGACAGAGAGACAGAGAGAGAGACAGAGAGACAGAGACAGAGACAGACAGAGACAGAGACAGAGACAGACAGAGAGAGAGACAGAGAGAGAGACAGACAGAGACAGAGACAGAGAGAGAGAGAGAGACAGTCAGACAGAGAGAGACAGAGACAGACAGAGAGACAGAGACAGACAGAGACAGACAGAGAGAGAGAGAGAGAGAGAGAGAGAGAGAGAGAGAGAGAGAGAGAGACAGACAGAGACAGACAGAGACAGACAGAGACAGAGACAGACAGACAGAGACAGACAGAGAGCACACATTTTTTAAGTGTTTTAGAATAATAAAAAATTAGGGTCAGTACTTACAGAGATATGAGGCTGAGAAGTTGGCACTGGATGCTCAAGTGACGGCAACATGGAGTCCTGCCGCTTGCAGAAGTGTTGCCGATATACTTTTTTTTTCTATTTTTCATATAATTTTTATGTTCTGATAATTACAATTTATAGTAGTTATTGTCATTTCATTACCAATCTTTGTTCTGACATTAGTATTAGGTACTGAAATTGTACTCAAATTGTCACAAACACATTGACAGGTGGACATTTACACCTGCCTTCGTCATTTACTCTTGTCTTGGAATATATACAAATTATTTATAGGTCCCAGCAATATTTTGGATATGTGGAAGTATATAATAAAAATGAGGAGGAGGAGGAGAAAGAGAAGGAGGGGAGGAGGAGGAAGAGGAGGAAGTGAAGGAGGAGAAGAATATGCAATAATAGTAATAGGTAATAATAAGTTCCCTCTGACAGTGACATGAGATAACATCTGATAAGAGCTGATGTTTGATGAGCATACACGAGGGTGGGGAAGGGTGCAGCAGATAAGAAAAGATTAGAGGTGACATTTGAGAAGCATCGCCCTCGCTTTGTTTTCGTTGGTACACAAACATGTCTGTGTGTGTGTGTATTTGTCTGTGTCAAGCTCCCTGTATCTGTATCCGTCCGTGTCTCTCTGTCTCTCTCTGTCTGTCTCTGGGTTTTTTTTTTTTTTTTTTTTTTTTTTTACACAGGGTTTGACAAGGTTAAGGATCTCTAGGTTTATTGACAGCTATATTACAGGTTAAGGATTCCTAACTTTATTGGCAAGCTAAGAGCTGTTACCTACATCAGCTCATTTGAAAGCATTTTTATTGTTATGAGACATACAAGTACGGGACAGGATGAAGTTGGAGCCATCTGTGGGCCAGCATTTTCATTTGATCAACTGACTATCTCGTTGATATCATTATGCTGTACGAATGTGTTCCATACTCGAGTCATCCTGGGTATGTATGATCTCAGATGGAGTGATGTTCTGGAGAAGGGTACAGCCAGAGTGAAGTTGCTGCTTTCTGCCCGTCTTGTGGCATAAAAGCTTGTTTCACGCTGTCCTCGAAGTGGATCCAAGTGTGGTATTTTGACAATATTGGCCTTGTACATAACAGTAAGGCCACCCACATCCCTCCTATGTTGAAGGCTCTGCTGAAATGACAGATCTATCCAGGATGGGTCCAGGCGAGAAAATGAGACGTCTTGCTCTGTTCTCTACTCTGTCCAGCAGTCGCAGATGAGAGGGGGGGCAGGCAAACCAAGAAAGTGGAGCATACTCAAGGTGTGAGCGTACTTGTGCCTCGTACAGGATCTTGCAACCCTACTGTCAAGCAGATGCGAGATACGGCGAAGTGCTGTAAGCTTCCGGGCTGCTTGTTTGCAAGATTTACAACATGGTTCTTCATGGTTAGTTTGGAGTCAAATTTCACCCAAGGATATCAACTTCTCCAGGTGCCAACATCCTCCCATTCATCCTTACTACTGCGCCAGCATTACCATCATGGTGCCTAGAGACGATCATCATTTGCGTTTTCTCAGGTGCAAATGTTACTTGCCATCTATTTCCCCAAGCTGATATAGCTCTCAGCTGGTGATTGATGTAGCTTAGAGCAGCTGGCATTTCTTCTCTTGGATAAGTGAATGTCAGTGTACAGTCGTCTGCATATGCATGTGATTCGGGGATGAGATGAAGAAGGTCGTTGAAGTAGACATTCCATAACAGTGGACCCAGCACGCTTCCTTGTGGAACGCTTGCCCCAATAGGATGCCTTGCTGATTCCGTTCCATTGAGGACTACACTTAGAGATCTACCATGAAGGTAATCACTGAGGAGACATAGCGTAGAGCCTGCAATTCCCAGTGCTTGAAGTTTTGCTAAGAGGC